TTTTTTTTTTTTTTTTTTTTGCCGTGAGTAGGGGTGCATGCCTTTAATCCCAGCACTCAGGAGGCAGAGGCAGGTGTATCTCTGAGTTCAAGGCCAGCCTGGTCTATGAGAAGAGTTCCAGTACAGCTGGGGCATTACACAGAGAAAACCCTGTCTTGAACACCCCCCAAAGGAAAAGAAATATGAACTGGGTGGTGGCGCACGCCTTTAATCCCAGCTCTCGGGAGGCAGAGGCAGGTGATCTCTGAGCTAGCCTACAAGAGCTAGTTCCAGGACAGGCTCCAAAGCTACAGAGAAACCCTGTCTCAAAAAAACAAAAAAGAAAAAAAAAGATATGGTTTCTCTTTTCAAAAACTTATGTGAAAGAAAAATTAACATACTTATTGAAAGAAAAATTTTTGGCAACTCAAGGGACAATATCAGCGATATATGTGTGTGACTGATATATTCATGTATTTATCCCCATTTCAGTTGTTGCCCTTTTTAACCATTGAATGAAGCAAAATATATGGAAAATAAAGAAAGAATACATTTCTAGGCAGGCCAGTAGCTTGATTAAAGCACTGCAGAGTAGTGCAGCGTGGTGTCATACCCTTGTTATGCCAGCCCGTGCAGCAGGACTTCAGAGTCAGCCTCGGCTGTCCAGTGAATCGGAGGCTAGCTTAAGTATACGAGATCTTCTCTACAAACAAAAGAAACACAATTTGCAAAGGGTCTCCTGAGAACAGAATTGAACACTTTGGTAGGAATGAGAAGTCTGTTTTTAAGAGAACTTAGGTTTATAAGTTCTTGAAAGTTAGGCTTACATGTTTAGGTAGTGAATGATCATTTAAAAACTTTTTAAGATTATGTCGGGCGGTGGTGGCGTGCGCCTTTAATCCCAGCACTCGGGAGGCAGAGGCAGGCGGATCTCTGTGAGTTCGAGACCAGCCTGCTTTACAAGAGCAAGTTCCAGGATGGGCTCCAAAGCTACAGAGAAACCTTGTGTCGAAAAACAACAAACAGGCAAAAAGAGCTAAATACATACTGAGTTGAGAGTAAAGATTAATTTGATGGCGTTTTATAGGGTGGATGGAGTAAACCAAAGGGATAGGCAGAAGCTATTGGGAAATTGCAGCTGTATCTCTGTGGGAAGAAATAGGTTGTCCATGACACTCAGTGATGGGTGTTTGGAGAGCACGAAGACAGATAGCTCAGTATTGATCCTTAGTGGATAGGGTCAGAATAGGAAGAGTGGGGACTGGCATGCACTTACCACAGGTGGGCAGAGGCAATGGAGATTGGGTCAGGTGGGACCCTGAAAGGGAAACTGACTTGGATTCTGGACATGTCAGGGTTGAAGTGTTGGCGGGACGTTTAGACCACAGCATAGAGCTTTATGTACATTGCTGCTTTATAGAGTCCTCAGGTAGTCAGCCTGTCTCATGTCTGAATGTCAAAAGACCACATTATTCAGAGCACAGGCAAATCTCTAGAGGTGGAGTAGTTACAGCATGCCTTAGAAGTTTGGCAGGTGATGTGTTTGAGCAGTCCGACATACTCAGGGATGGAGGGACTGTGTTCTCATACCCCTTGGCTGTAGGCTGAAGTAGTTAGCACAGCTCTAATGGTACGTATGTGTCCTTTCTTTCTTTCTTCATGGAAAATCCTTTATTTTCTCGTTTGAAGACACATAAACCATTATTCCATTGTCTGCAACTTCCTAATTCTGGTAGTATAACATGGGGTTTCTTTTTTATTGACTATTAATATATATATATATTTTTTGGGGGGGGGGTTTCAAGACAGGGTTGCTCTGGAGCTCTGGAGCCTGTCCTGGAACTCTCTGTAGACCAGGCTGGACTTGGAACTCACAGAGATCCGCCTGCCTCTGCCTCCCGAGTGCTGGGATTAAAGGCTTGTGCCACCATTGCCCAGCAATTTACTTCTTAAATGTTAAAACTTGAACAGTCAGACCAAGAGACAGCCTGATGTTTTCATGTTCAGTCTTGTAATACTAATACCAATACTAATACTAACACTAATACCAATACCAATACTAATAACTAATACTAATACCAATACTAACACTAATACTGGTGTTTGTTTTGTTTTACTGTTGCAGTGCCAAGACCTGACGCATTAGACAACGAGAGGTATGGAATCCACCAGTTACTTCTTTTTGTTGTTTTGATGGATTCTGTTGTATTGTTCTGGTTACATGTCCCTAGCCCCATGTTCTGGACACAGCATTAGACACCTTGTCCGTTCTGAAATAATCACAAGTCCCAAAGTTCAGGTTGAGAATACGCAGTGTCTTCTTGCCCTTATAGTATGAGAACTCTCTGGAGAAGGAGCTTTAGTGACTTACAGCCTGACTTGCCGGGGAAGTAGCTGTGCTAGTAAGCCGCAGCGTGAACACAGAGGGAGCTAATTTAATTTGTCTCCTGGCTTTTATCCTGCATCATTTGGTGTTTTCTGTGACCTGTGGCTATTTTTTAAGTTCTGGGTCAGAAAACATTGGTTCCTGGCATCAGCAAAGCAGTGCTAAAGATCCCTCCTGTGTGTCTTAGAGCTCTGCTTCCATTCCTTAATCCATCCACCACATGTCTGATAGAGGAATTTCCTCTGCTGTGATTGTTTCTTGTTTTGCTTTACCCCCTCACATTGCCTCCCTCTTGGCTGCAGTGGAGTCCGTCAGACTGTGCTTTTACTTTGTCCCTGGATTGCAGTCACAGGGAGTTGCAGTGGTCCAAGTGTGGTGAAGACTGTGTTCTGATCACAAAGGGCCTTGGAGCTAGTGGCAGGTTTATACCTGTGGACTGAGCCACTTGCTCATAGGGTGGAGTTGTCAGAACAAGTTTGTCTTCCTAGTCCCCAAATTCAAGTTTCAGCCTGGTAAGCCAAGAGGACACGTTTCACATCCAAAGCACCTGGGACTAGCCGCTCCCTGCCCGTTTAAACCCGAAGCATTGGCTTCCTGCACAGCAGGTAGGGAACCCTAAACAGCCTCCTCTCACAGCTCCCCCTTCTCTCTCCCGTAGTTGGGGCTTTGTGCACCCTCGTTTGCTCAGCGTCCCCGAGCTCTGCCACCATGTAGCTGAAGTCTGGGTTAGTGGGACCATTTTCATAAGGAATCTTTTGCTTTTCAAAAAGCAAAACCCAGGCAAGGTAAGACCTCCCTTTTAACTTTCAGCTCTGACCATCATCAGTTCAGCTCATGTTAAGTTGAAACCCTATTTCATGATGTGTCCTCATTCAGGGAAGAAGAGACTTGAGGTTCGTAGAAACAAAGGGAGGTTATAGGAAGGGGTTCCTTGTGGCCATTACAGTAAAGGCAAGAGCAGGACTCCGTGTTTGGTGTGCTTGTCACTTGGAGTAGCCGTTTTCTTTTCTTCTTCTTTTTTTTTTTTTCTTTTTAAATTTCTTTGTGTGCTGGGGATTGAATCCAAGGCTTTCTGCATGTTCGGCAAGCTCTCCGACTGAGCTACATCTCAGCCCCACAGAGCAGGCCATTTTCTTGACTCAAGAAGGGTAGGAAAGCTTGCTTGTGGGCATTCTTTGTCATATTGAATATGATAAATTGTAGGGTTTTATATTTTTGCTTTCTTACTTAAAAAAACTCACCACTAATATGCGTTTTCTGAGAGAATTTTTGGCTCTAACTTACTCAAAGCAATTTCCTGGCATGAAAGGTCAGCTGTATGGGACTAGCCATGTAAAAGAAGCTTGAGTAGAAGGGAATGTTCTCTTGACTGCCCAAGGAGAATCCCTACTGGACTCGAGTAACCGTGGCTGTTGTTAGACATGTCCATGCTTGACTCAGAGCATAAAGAACCTTTAGTCACATCTCCATTAATCCCCACCCCACCCCAGTCCTTTGCTGGGTGGCAGAAACTTATTACTGCTTCTTGCTTCTCCAGTTCTGCTTGCTGAGCTGTGGGATACTGACCTTTTTGGCCATGTTGGGCCGCTACATCCCTGGGCTCCTGCTGTCCTACTTGATGCGTAAGTATAAATGTACTTTCCCTACAAGCCGTATGCTGCTCAGAGCTTTCCAGTCATAGTCAACCTTGGGTCTAGGGCATTGGTTCTTATCTTCCTAATGCTGCAACCCTTTAATACAATTCCTCATGTTGTGGTGACCCCAACCATAAAGTTATTTTCATAACTGTTGTGATTCCTAATGTAAATATCTGATATGCAGAATATCTAATATGTAACTCCTGAGAAAGGATCATTTGACCCCAAGGGGTTGCAATGCACAGGTTGAGGACCACTGGTCTTGGAAGAGTGCTATTAATATTTTTGTTCTCCAACAATGACTTTTTCATATCCTCAGGGCACGATTAGTGTCGTTAAATGTCTTTTCACATGGAACTGGTACTCCACATATAAAGGCATAAACTCCATTTTCCTTTGGGGGTGCTTGCAGTACTGGGGATGCAGCCCAGCATGTCATGCATGTCAGGCAAGTGTTGTGCCACTCACGTATGTCCCCAGCCCGTTTACCTAGGTGTAGTAGGTGTAGGCGTTGATGAGGGTTCACTAATGCACGTGGTGTCTTACCCTGAAGGACTGGCTCTGTAAGGAGAAGGTTTCCAGACAGTTCTGAGTTCCTTCTCTGTTCTCGCTCTGGAGGACTTTTCCCTCCTCTGAAGTACATTTCTATAACGTAGTTACTTTTTGTTGACATACTGTTTGAGGCTGGAAGAAATTTTGGGTATTTTATTTTGCTTATATTTTTGTGGGTTTCTTTGTTTGTTTAGAGACAGGGACTCTCTGCATAGCCCTGGCTGTCTGGGAACTCACCATGTAGAGCAGGTTGGCTTTGAACTCACAGAGATCCACCTGCCTCTGCTTCCCAAGTGCTAGAATTAAAGGCCGTGTGCCATCATGATGGGCATCTAGGTGTACTATTTTTGTACATAATTTATCTCAGAATCACTGGTTGTCACCATTTTGCTTTATATTTCCACACTTCCTGGTTCTGTCCCTGTGCTGTCTGTGGCGTATTATATTGTTTATAGCCATGACCTGTACCCTGTGGAGGCTACAGATGTCCCGTTCTCAAAAACTGTATATAACAGGCATTGTTAGTGAGGGGACCAACAGAAAGAAGCAGAATTGTTCTGCCCCTTTTGAATTAGGACACAGTAGCAGAGGGTAGGCAGGATTGCTTTGTGCGGTCTTCATTTTCCTACTGTTTTCACTCTTAGTTGTCATTGTCATGATGTGGCCTCTGGCTGTCTACCACCGGCTGTGGGATCGAGCCTATGTGCGACTGAAGCCAGCTCTGCAGCGGCTGGACTTCAGTGTCCGTGGCTACATGATGTCCAAGCAGAGAGAAAGACAATGTAAGTGTCATGGGGTGGCTTTCTTCTACATGACAGTTTGAGAAAGAGGAGAAGCCAGGCCTCACATACTGGATAAGTCTTTAGAAGCAAAAGAAATAGGGTCCATGAGATGGCTCAGCAGCTTGTCACCAAGCCTGATGACTTCAGTCTAATCCCTAAGACCTCATGATGGAAGGAGAACACCCACCCACACACAGTGTGTTGTGCTCTCACTTCTACAGGTATACTATTTCACATGTATATAGAAACAATAACTAGATAAAAGTAATTTTAAAAATTTCAAGTAGAAGTAGGGGATGGTTGGTAGGAATACAAAGTGGTAGGGAGGTGTAATATCTTATTTCTGAGAAACCTAGGCAGGCTTTCCAATTCTTCTGACTTAGAATCCTTAGGCCTTCATTTTAAACCAGTTTGAGAAAAGCTCCAAGTTGAATGAAAGACATTGAAAATGTCTGTAGTCCATCTGCTATTATGAAACACCTTCCAAGAGTCTGAGCACCATATCGACTGCTTGCATATACAGTTTTAAGTAATCTTTGCATCAACCTTGAGATTCAAGTGGTTTTGAACTGAGTAAATGTTAATGTAGGATTTTTGCACTTTAAAGTTAGCCTCTTTCCATTACTGAAAGCTGTCTTCCAAAGTGGACTGAAACCAGCCACCATAGATGCCAGAGTACACAGCATAGGTGCCCGACACAAAAGGGAGCACCAATGTGCCCCGTTCTCTGCTGTTACCAGTTTGGGTGTTTCATTAAACCTTGGCCTTCAAAGAATCCCATATGTGGTCACCAGCTTCATCTGGGCCAACTAGTTGAAAAATCTTAGTCCTAAAAGCCAAGGTGAGCGCCTCCCTTCTCTTGCTTATGACTGCCCTCTTATCCCTGGCAAATCTTCAGAGTTGCTAGGTGGTTTGGTAGTTTATCTTCTAGCAAGAATCTCTAGAGATGTGGAGGGATGTTGGAGGAGAGATGTAATCTCATGTTACTACTTAGCCTCAGCATCCTTCAGACATTGCTATGTAGACTTAGAGCCTTATTTAGAGGGTCTTTTCCTGTGTTATGGTGTTTTTGGAGTTCAAAGGGAGTTTTTCCCTTGAAGGCATCAAGGTCTTCTGCTCTTTCCACATAGTACGCCGCAGAGCTCTACACCCAGAACGTGCCCTGGACAACCACAGTGACAGTGAAGAGGAGCTTGCTGCATTCTGTCCTCAGGTATCTTGTGTGGAAGCTGTTCCACTGGGCCCATTTTCTTAATTCCTTTTTATCCGTCTGGTAGCTCACATTAAGATGGTAACCAGGTTTTAAGCCTATCAAGGACCCTCAAAGACCCTAGATTCCCCTTATTCTCAATAGCAGTTCTGAGGACAGAACCTGGTATTGTATGGGGCCTTAGAACTCAGTTTGAGCCTGGTGAGCAGCTTGCTCCATCAGGGGAAAACCTGGAGCTGACAGAAACTTTTCAACAGCCAGTCCTCCTAGAGGTTTGGTTAATAAGTATATTTTTCTGGTTACCCAGGATTGTCTGAGCTCAAAAGGTTGATGAGAAAGAATGTTTCCTTTAGGGAAGCACCGTAACAGGCATCAAGATGGTGGGCGCAGTTCTCATCTCTCTTTGATTTCACTGGTGGGCTTGGGTCTCTTCTAGGGCTTGCATTAGTAAAGTGAATTGGTGGTGGCATCATCTTTGACTTGTTGCTGCTTTCTTTTTGTAAGCTGGATGATTCTGCTGTGGCCAGGGAATTGGCTATCACAGATTCGGAGCACTCTGATGCTGAGGTCTCCTGTACAGACAACGGCACATTTAACCTGTCAAGGGGCCAGACACCTCTCACAGAAGGCTCGGAAGGTGAGAACCTTTGGCTTGAGTTGATAGTAACTCTGACTTTTGTGTTATAGCTTCCTTAGACAGGAGTCTTACTGTTGCCCCTCCTCTCCTGGGTTGTGGCTCAAGTAGCAGAGTCACCCGAGGGTGTGGTATAGCACTGCTGATACTGCTGCTTTTCTTGAAGCCCCCAGTCCATTATTAGTCTTTGCCTCTGGCCTCATGGGCACAGTAGAGGAAGACAGGCAGTTCCGTGGCAGTTAGTCATCTAATTGGCAGATGGTCATCTGAGTGATGACGAAAAGCCAACCAGTCCCACAGGTTTTGCTTTATCTTAAGAACAGGGAAGCTGGATGGTGGTGGCACTTGTCTTTAATCCCAGCACTTGGGAGGCAGAGGCAGGCAGATCTCTGTAAGTTCAAGGCCAGCGTGGTCTACAAAACAAGTTCTAGAACTGGCTCCATAGTTACTGAGAAACCGTGTCTTGAAAAACCAAAAGAAGAAGAACAGGAAAGCTGGGTGGTACTGGAACATGTCTTTAATCCCAGCACTTGGGAAGCAGAGGCAGGCAGAGCTCTGAGTTCAGGGTTAGCCTGGTCTATAGAGTGAGTTTCAGGACTGCCAGGGCTACACAGAGAAACCCTGTCTCGAAAAACAAAACAAAAAGGTACAGGGTAGGGGAAAACCTGGTTTTTTGGGTCTGGAGCACAAGGGGCCAAGTAGCCACCATTTTCACACTAGGTCTGTGTTCTCTCAGACCTAGATGGTCACAGTGATCCTGAGGAGTCATTTGCCAGAGACCTTCCAGACTTCCCTTCCATTAATGTGGATCCTGCTGGCCTGGATGATGAAGACGACACCAGCATTGGGATGCCCAGCGTGATGTACCGCCCCCCACCAGGGGCTGGGGATACCCAGGTCCTGCCTGCTAGTCGGGATGAGGCTGCACTGCCAGAGCTCCTGCTTGGGTCCCTTCCTGGAGGATCTAACCTTACCAGCAACCTTGCCAGCCTGGTCTCCCAGGGCATGATCCAGCTGGCCTTGTCAGGGGCCTCCCAGACAGACCCTTCTGGCCCACCTCCCCGAAGAACAACAAGAGGCCTCCTCCGGGCTCCTAGTTCAGACCTTGACACTGATGCTGAGGGAGATGATTTTGAACTTCTGGACCAATCAGAGCTGAATCAGCTAGACCCTGCCAGTTCCAGGAGCCACTGAGAGGAGACTCCTTTGAGGGGGTCACTGTGATGTAGGGTTTTTTTCTCCCCACCCCATTTACTGTGATGGGGCAAGGGAAGAACCCGGTCTTGTCCCCTGAATTTTATCTGTGTGCTGTGTGGCCTGGCTGATGCAGAGGCCTGCTGAGAGGACATACTCATCACCTTGCTGCCAGCTAGACATTTCTGTGCTTAGTCACTGAAGTGAGCACATGCTGCCCCGAGGGAGACATCTCTCCACAGGGCGGTACTGCAGGCAAGAAAGGAGGAATAGTGGTTCCCCTTGGGGAATTAACATTGAGGTGGTAGTGCTGGTTGTTTTTAGGTCTGGGTGCTCAGGGGCCTTCACTGATGTAAGAGCCCATCTCTTCTCCTCACCTCACGGGAGCCACAGAAGTCAGGCAGCAGCTACAAGAGTTTCCATTTTTGTCTTTTACCATGATTTGACTTGTGTTCTCAAAGCAAGTTTGTCCTTTGGTTCTGCAGAGCAGGCCCACTTCCTGTCCCTGAGCCCATCTTCATTTCTCGATGACTGACCCTCAACACTGCAGAGTGCTTGCAGAACGTAAGAAATGTGAATGTGACGTGGGCTGAGCCTCTGTGTCACCTTGAGCTGTAGGATCAGCTGGTGACAGGGTTGGTGAGTGCCTCTCTGTCCTGAGGTCTCATGGAATCTTTTGGAGCTGTGTGGTTGTCTTTGGTGCTGTTAACCCCTGGCTCCATTTGACCATCCATCTGAGCAGCGAGCAAAGCAATATCATATCCATTTTTATGTACTAGTTCCTCCCTTGCTCCTCCTCCGGAGAAGCAATAATTCCGCAAGGGGTAGGTGGCAAAGTAGCACTTTACAAATGGCTGTGGCATTCATCCGAGGAGCCAGCAGCTCTTCCATACTGCTTCCTAACTCCTTTGAGGGTGAGCCCTCAAAGTAAGGATGTGTTGGTAACCAGCAGACACTGCTCTGAAGGGTGTGTGTTAGCAGTCCCTGGTCAAATCATGTGAAACAAAGCCCTGTAAATGATCATTGGTTCTAAACCTTTGCCAGCCTACTGCCTCTCTCTCTGTCTCCCAAATCAGAGCTCAAGCCAAATTCTCTATCCTCTCCCTCTTGCATTAACCCTTTGCTGATCCTCAGGGACCACTCCCCCAGCACCCCCATATTTGGGTGAGGGACGTTGGACAGAGCCCATTTTCATGTGCTGCAGGTTGGGGGTTGTGCTAACATGTTTGCTCTTGGTTGATGGACAAGGTAGAGAGGCCAGGGAGTGAAAATACTTAACAGTGAGAAGGGCAACGGCTAGGTGCCTGTTTCATAGTCATTGAGTGTGAAAGTTAGGGAGGTTCTCAGATGCTCTGGACATCTCTTTCCTTAGAGCCAGCTGTGTTACAGGTGAGCTCTCTGGAGGAAATGGGAGGTGATGGAAGGGAATGGAATAGTGCGTGTTTGCATGAACGTGTGTAACTTCATGCTTTGGGAGTTGGCAAGAGGAAGAGGGAGGGAAGGAGAGCAAAATCCAGAAGGTCTTTCTTGTACCAGTGGGATCCTGCTCTGAATCTCCCGAATCTTCCACTGTGAATTGGGGTGGGGGGTGGGTGCTGGGGAATAAATCTTGTATGAGAACAATCTTTAAGAGACTGCCATTGCATGGTGTACTCCTTTAATAGGTCTTCTCTTACTAATCTGGTAATAGCTAATTTGGGGCCGTGACCACCTCAGAAGGGGATACCCAGGTAGGTGTCAGGGGCTCACCTGCCCCTTCCTGTTTCTCCCTTATGAAAGCATTTCCCCTCCTACAACCAAGACATCAGTACAACACCCTTGCTGGCGCTTGTCCCGTTAGGTTTTGTTTTGTTTTCTTCCAGATTTATGTACCTGAGCATTTGCCTGCCTGCATGCACACACACCACTACTTGCCTGGTGCCTGGGGGGTGGGGAAGGTCTGATCTCTTGGAAATGGAGTTACAATTAGCAGTTACTTGAGTGCTAGGAACCAAACCAGGGTTGTCTCCAAGAAAACCAAATGTGCCTGATGGTGGCCCACACCTTTAATCCCAGCACTGGGGAGGCAGAGGCAGGCGGATCTCTGTGAGTTTGAGGCCAACCTGGACTAGAGAGTACCAGGACAGACTCCAGAGCTTCTGAGAAACCTTGTCTTGAAAAAAAGTGCTCTTAACTGCTGAACCATCTCTCCAGCCTCATTATTCCATCATTTTTAACACTTTTTTTTTCCCTTTCTTTTTGCAAGACAGGGTTTTTCTGTTTAACAGCTCTGGCTATCCTGTCTACTTTGTAGACCAGGCTGGGCTCAAACTTTCAGAGATAAACCTGCCTCTGCCTCTCTAGTGCTGAAATTAAAGGCGTGCGCCACCACTGCCCGGTTTCATTCTTAACACTGCTCCTTATATAAGAGGAGACCAAAAAAAAAAAAAAAAAAAAAAGATCTGAACAAAGGCTAATTGAGTTTTACGCAGCAGAAGACTTGAAAAGTTAATACTGTGCCTTTCCGCGGGACTCTGAGCTGCAAGGACAGCTGCTCTTTGACCTTCAGCAGACCTCAGAAACTAGAAATATTTATTTCAGGCTCCACCGGACTGACCACCGAGGTCGGGAATGGAAAGCACCTGTCAGGTGTTGCTGCGGGGGCTAACTGGCTACTTGTGGCTTGAGTAGTAGCCTCTACTCCCTAGCGCCGTTTTGGGCGTTCAAACCACCGCTGGTGTCGAGCGCCCCCTACACGCGACACACGGAAACGGGCGCTGTTTGGTGCTCCTTTTCCTAGCCACGCTCCCGGGGGGTGCACCCGGTGACTCTGAGCGGCGCGGGAGCTGGGACCCTGAGGTTCCTTCCCCTTCCCACCCCTGGGCCAAGTTCCGGATCACGAGTGCTCACATACGGCAACTTAAAGTGGAAGGGGCCACTCGGTCCAGCCAGTGACCTGTCGCAAAGGCTGACGCTCAGTTTCTAGACCGCGCCGGTTGGGTGGGTGGGGGGCGGCCTACGGGGTCCCGGAAGGTAAGGGCGCATTTCCTGAAGACTTCAGCCAATAAGCGTTAAGATTTTCCTCCACCGGAAGGCGCTGTCTCCCGGAGCAACCAACCAGACCGCTGTCTTCAGTTTGGTGGCGGGAAAACGCCATGAGTAAAAGCCGGGCCGAGGCTGCGGCCGGAGGTAACGGCGGCGCCCGCAGGACACGGGAGGGGAGCGGGCGAGGGGTTTAGAGGTGACTCGGTCTCCCACCTCGTCTCTCGCAGCCCCCGGGATCATCCTGAGGTACCTGCAGGAACAAAACCGGCCCTACAGCGCGCAGGACGTATTCGGAAACCTGCAGAAGGAACATGGACTGGGCAAGGCGGTAAGACCCCACCCCCTTTAGGGGGGGGTTCCCTCCCCGCCGAACTCCCTTTTCAGGCGTGGGTCCCCTTTTCCGTCACCGGCCCACGTCCTCTCATTGCTCCACTCTTCCCTCGGCCAGGCGGTGGTGAAGGCGCTGGATCAGTTGGCCCAGGAAGGGAAGATTAAAGAGAAGACGTACGGCAAACAGAAAATTTATTTTGCCGATCAGGTGAGAACTCCCGCTGATTAGCCCCCACCTGAGAACCTGGCTGAGCCAATCAACTGCCAGCATTAACTAGTTAGTGTTGAGGCACCTCATAAAATTAACCTAACCTGTGCCAGAAAAGGCTTCAGGCATTTTTTTTTTTTTAACTTATTTTGGTTTTTCAAGACAGGGTTTCTCTGTAACAGTCCTGGCTGTTCTGGAACTCACTTTGTAGACCAGGCCGGCCTCGAACTCAGAGATTCGCCTTCCTCTGCCTCCCAAGTGCAGGGATTAAAGACGTGCGCCACCATTGCCCGGCTGGCCTCAGGCATTCCTAAATCATAGGCACACTGCCTATGATCACATTTCGCTAGTGTTCATTTGAGGTATGGACAAAAGACAGAAGACCCTGGCTTGTTACTGCTCCCAGCCTCTTTTCCGCTTGGAAACGCTTATTGTTTCGTCTAGCCCCACCCTATGCCCACAACCACAAACATCAAATTTGTATTCTCCACCTAGACTTCTCTCTGGATGCCTCTCAAATACTAAGCATCAGTATCAATATGGCCGAAGTAGAATGCTTGATCTCTGCCCCAGTCTCCGCCCGCCAAACTGGCTTTCTAGCATTCTTTTAAGAGAAACACTTTTCCCCAATTCTTGTTTTTTTTTTTTTTTTTTTAATTCTTGGTTTCTTTTACTTTGCATATCTGACATGTGTGGTTATTTATGAATTATATCCGATTCCCCCGACCTAACCCTTTTTTTGGGGGGAGGGCAAAGGGTTGAGACTGAGTCTTACTATGTAGCCCAAGCTGGCCTCAAACTTACTTTCTTTCTCGGCCTCCTGAGTGCTGAGTTTCTAAGTGTTTGTATTTACCAGAATGGCTCAAGGTTTTCTTTATTGACTCTAACCTGTCTTCACGGCTCTCTATCAGACCCTCTTGGATATTGTAGCCAGAATGATCTATCTAATCACATATTTGGCTGGTAAAATGGCTGAGGGGCCTGGAGGTAGTTTTAGACTTTCTGAAGCATTTGTTCTCACTGTTCAGCCCTGCCATTGTAAAACAAAAGTAGTCATAGATGATGCAAAGGAACAGACATGGCTGCAAAATTTCATTTTACATGCACGAGTTGAGCAATGGCTCCTGTTCTTCAGACTCACCTTGCCTGAGTTTCCTGTCACACTACATGGTCTGGCGTGCCCAACCTTTTCTAGCTACTCCCAGCATCAGCTGAGGAGGCTCTCGTTCATCCCCAGCGGCCCTCTTCTCGCAATACCTCCTAGGGAAGGAGCCTTTCCTTACCCAGGACCCACTGAGCCTCTTCCACTGGAGATCTGGTCCTCCACTTCAGAAGGCATGTTGCTTCATTCTTTTAGATGATGAGAGGTTTTATTGCTAAATGGAAATATATTTCTCATGCTGGTTTTTTTTGTTTTTCTTTTGTTTTGAGACATGGTCTCTCTACATAGCCTTGGCTGTCCTGGAACTCACTATATAGTTCAGGCTGGCCTCAAACTCAGATTCACCTTCTGTGACTCCCTAGTACTGGGATTAAAGGCGTGGGCTGTCACACCCCCCTTACACTCTGAGCCAACATCGAAGCTCCTGGGGACAGGCACTGCATTTCACCTTTTGTTTATCTTTGTGCCTCACATGAACTCGCTTGTATTTCTCCTCTTGGCTGGCAGGACCAGTTTGACGCAGTGAGTGATGCTGACCTCCACAGCCTCGATGCCAAAATTGCAGCCCTCACTGCCAAGGTGCAGAGCTTACAGCAAAGCTGCCGCCACATGGAGGCTGGTAAGACCAGAACCCCTTCCAGGATGCCACGGTTTGGAGGTCACAAATTGCTGACAATAGTTTCTTATCTGCAGCATCTTATTGCAGCTAGGAACCCCTTTACCAGGTGCCTACACTATTACATTGAAAGAAGTGCAGAATTACTTAAGGCTTTTGTGTACAAAAAGGCAAGACAAGAAGCCACTTGGTTTCCCTTCCGCAGTATGAGCACGCCACATTTTATTTCCGCTTCTTTAATTACCTGTGTATCAGTCTGCCCAACTTTATATGCCACTGTTACTTTTAGGTGGAGAAGGAAAGAGAAATAGAAAACTATGCTGTAAGCTTTTTTCTTGAGCTTTTCCAGAATGTGGGGTCCTATTCTGGAGAGGTCCCAGAGCAAGATGGAAGCTGACCTCCCACATCTGGGAAGCACCTGCTGAGCAAGACGGAATCCATTCCTCACATGTCCCTGGTAACACTGGGGGTGTGTGGTTTCAGAGCTGAAGGAATTAACAAATGCGCTGACCACTCCTGAGATGCAGAAAGAGATCCAGGAATTAAAGAATGAATGTGCTCGTTATACTGAGAGGCTAAAGAACATCAAAGCAGCCACCAACCATATCACTCCAGAAGAGAAAGAGGAGGTGAGCGGGGAGGCTGGAGTCTGCCTGTGCAGGTCTGGAGTGAACATGAGGTGCACAGACGGCCGTGGTTCTTCCTTGCAGGTGTACAAAGACAGACAGAAGTATTGTAAAGAGTGGAGGAAGCGGAAGAGAATGGTGAGTGAGAGCTCCCAGGGTGGCTTCGGAGGTGCTGGGACGTTTCTGTACAAAAGGATCCAGCAGCAGCAGGCAGCACCCTGTGCTGCTTCTGCCCAACTGAAAGGGGCTTTCTTCCTTGTCAGACCACCGAGCTGTGTGATGCCATCCTTGAAGGATACCCCAAGAGCAAGAAACAGTTCTTTGTAAGTGACCCTTGCTCTTACTCCCCTGGGATCTTTGCCTAGAGGACTCCTTCATTCCTTTCCTTGCCCCACAGGAGGAAGTCGGGATAGAGACAGATGAAGATCATAATGTCACACTCCCAGACCCTTGAGGGGCCCTTGGTGGAGTCTGGGAGCAGATGTCCCGGGCTGGCTGCCTCGTTTAGGTGGCTGTATTGCTTTTGCTGGTCTTCACCTTTGAGTGGTGGGGAGGGAAGTACAAAGCTGGTAGTCAGAAAGAGATGCTCATGTCCATTCTGTTGTCCGTATTACAGAGGCCTCCGCAAGGACTTAGAACAATCCTAAGGGAAATTATCTAGAATATTTATTGCAATATAATTTGATATAAAAATACTTAATTTCCTCTGGATTATCAAACCTCCCAGATATCAAACCTGGGGAAGGCAACAGGGAATACTGGGGAGAAAAATACAGAAAGGTTTTCATACACCCAACATTTGAGAACCCTACCTAAGGCATCAGCCAGGCCTACCCCCAGATGACCCGAGTGTCTTCTGTAGCTATCCCCAAGTCCTAGGAGGAATGTAGGCCAACACTGGTGCTGGTACACAGTACACAGAGACGGCTGGGTGCTCTGGGGGTCACTGGGAATTTGGGGAAACTATAACAAAAGCACGCTGTTGGTGTTTAGAAAATAAATTCACATGTGTTATGCTGTGAGATGCCTGCCTTCAGAAGAGTGGCTGAAACATGAGGGACAGCAGGACCCTGGGAACCCTACCCTGAGCTGGCTAGAAAGCCCTGGCTTTGCTCAGTGCTAACCACACAGCACCAGCCTAGGCACAGGTGGCCTTTCACCCTTCGTGGCCACAAGACTCTTTCTTCTCCTTTTTCCCAAGTCAAAAACTGCCAAAATACTCCAACTTGAGCCAAGTGTTGCCCAAGAGACCAAGCAGAGGCAAACAATTTCCAAATTATATATAGAGATTGTGAGCATAAACCCGGCGGCTAGAGAAAGGGCTGAAGGGCCAAGGCTTCTGTGAGGGTTCCTGAACAGACTCTTGTTCTAGACACTTTTCCTGGGTAGGGGAAAGTTGGGTGGGTCCAACACTGGGCAATATAATAAATTAATGAGAGGCCTTCAGAGAGCAGCCTCACTGAAGTGGGGCTGGGCAAACCAAACACCAAGTAGAAACCAGCTGACCGGTGTGAGGTGTTGCAGTCCAGTCTCAGGCCCAGCAGCTCCACAGCCAAACAGACCAAAGACCTCTGCCCTGCAGGTTTCCAGGAGCCATCAGTAGAGCTGGTTCTTCAACTGATGTAGGACTCCAATCACAATTTCTCGTAGAGTCTAGGAAAGAACGGTCAGGTGTCAGTGCAGACCTGGAAGATGCCTGCCTAGACCAAATGTGCTCTTGAGCGGGGCATTTCAAATAGTCACCTAAGGGCTAGACATAGAGCTTGGGGTATGGAAGCAAAGGAGGGCTGGGAGATGGCTCAGTCAGTAAAGCCTCTAGCCACACGAGCCTAGTGAACCGAGTTCCAGCTCCCTGGAATGCACATAGAAGTGAAAGGAAAGATCTGACTAAAGTTGTCCTCCACCCTCTCCATATGTGCTGTGGGGAGGGGGAGATGTCTCACTGGTTAAGAGTGCTTGCTGCTCTTGTAGAAGACCCAGGTCTTGTTCCCAGCACCCAAATGGTGACTCACAACCACTTGCAACTCAGGTTGCAGGGGATCCAATGCCCTCTCTTTTGGCCTCTGGCACACATACATACATACATACATACATACGTGCAAACAACACACATGTTCGTAAAATGTGTTTTGTTTTGTCTTTTCCCTGAGATGGAATGCTGTCTACTTTTAATTTTCAAATGCTCCTGAAACAAACATGGAGACAGACGAGTATGCCATCGGTATGACTGACATGGTAGATATGGGTGTTCCCTGGTACAGTCTTTAAAGTACTTCACAATCAAAGTGTTGAGAAACTTAAAAGGGAGAAATCTGAGAAAAAATAGGCCTCAAGAGCAGAAGATGGCACAATAAAAGTCCTGGGACTATAGGGGGGTCAGGGTGTCTAGAAACTTCCAGTAACTGCTGCTGGCTTCCATACAGGACAACCAAGGAGTAGAGTGGCTAATGAGTCACCAATGACGTGGGCCAAAGCTGGACCTGGCACTGAGTGCTCACATTATGGTTGCCAGATGAGACCTTCACTGGGTTAGGCAGCAAGGAGAAACAGAATTCTAAACTTGTAGACACCCTGTAGAATCCCAAAGACAACCACACTGCTTTTCTAATGGTTTGGATCCGTTTGCTTGGAGGTAATAAGAGCCTCAGACCCCATGACCCCTGCTGCCACATACCTGTGGCTCACAGTGTTCCTCAATCCAGCTGAAGACACAAGCTGACAGCTCCTGGAAGCTGGCCACAGAGATAGAGGCATTGAAAGACTGGAATAGGGAGTCCATGATGCCTTGGAACACGTTGAACTTGACCTGGTCAGAGACCTGGTCCTCCCCCTCGTGAGGGTTGTCTTGATGTGCCTTCACAATCTGCTCATAGTTCCTGGAAGCAGGCAAGCAAGCAAAGCTGAGGTGCTACAGCAGCTTCACCAACCTGAGAAGCACGATGAGATAGCCCAATGGTCGCCCCAGAAGAGGATTCATAGAGCCCTTCGGGGATGCATTCACCAGCTAAACACTACTAAATCAAAACTGACTCCCTGCAACCTACAAGTGCTTTTTTTTTTTGTTTTTTTGAGACAGGGTTTCTTTGTGTAGTCCTGGCTGTCCTGGAACTTACTGTACAGACCAGGTTGGCTTCAAACTCAGATCCACAGATCCACCCACCTCTGCCTCCTGAGTGCTAGGATAAAAGTGTGCCCCACTGCCGCCCGGCCCCTGACCGGTGTTTATTTCCTGTATGTCTACTCTATGTAAAAGGCTGATGGGGACAGACAGCCCTGCCTTACAGCAACTACCTTGAGTCGGCATTGCCTGCTTGCATTCTCCGATACAGCCTTTAAACGAGAGAAAGTGCACTGGGGTTGACTTGCGCGCCCCTCAGTTCCCCACCCTTCTTACACTTTCATTATCTTCAGGGCTGTGACATCCTTGCGCAGTGTGGATACTTCCTCCTCCTGCTTTTTCTTCTCCTTGTGTAAAAACTGGATGTAGTCGATGGCTGGTCAAGAGAGGGTTGGGAACAGAGAGGAAGTCTGAACCAGGAAGATGGCTCATTTTGTTTCCCCTTCCCCTGGAAGTCAACTTGCCCAGCACAGCCACCACACCTGAGTCAGACCAGGTACCAGCCACTCCTGGTCACTACTACCTCCCCTGCCCTGTCGCCCTGGTCATACTCTTCTGTAGAACGATGGCTTTGCTGAGTTTCTGGGAGCCAATGGAGAAGTCCTGCTGCTGGCAAGTAGGGACAATGGTCTGCAGATCATCGTAGCCTCTCTGTGGAAATGGCAGTGAGATGGGTTTCTTAACTCAGGAACAAGACAGACTAGCGCAAACTTGATACCAGTTCCATGCTCAGAAATTCAAAGCATAGAGGGCCGGAAGGAGGGGGTAGGGGCAATGGACTAGCCCTGCAGACTGCTGGGACTAAGCTCAGGGCAGGGTGAATAAGAACCACACAGAGTCCTCCCTTGCTTCCCCTAGTCACCTTGATAGCGTCCCTCCTCTTCTGCTCAGCTTGAGTGTGTGCACGCCGCCTCCGGTCTTTGTAGGACTCCTTGTAGGACTCTTGCTGATAGTCACTGTCCTCGTCATCTACGCTCAGATGGAGGCAGGGGAAGGTCATGCAGGGTCCACTGAGTCCAGTAAGCCCACCTACCCCTAGTTTAAGAACCTGCTGCCCAGAGATGGCAAATGGAAGAACCTAGTATCTTAGATGAGGTGAACGATAGTGAGGCTCGGCTCAGCACTGCTCCAGCTGCCCCACGTGGACTGTGGCGCTCCCTATTAGGAAGGATACTAAGATGATGGCATAGCTGCGTTTCCCCCGAGTGTGTGTGCGAAGTGTGTTGCTGCCTACCTGTGTTGGGGACGGAAGAGGCACTGGTAGAACCGATGCTATTAGCTCTGGACACTACACTCCCCTTGTGGGCGCTTTCTACAAAAAGCCCTGGAAAAAAGAGGCCTCAATCACTAAGAAGTGGGGAACATGACTAGGCCCTCGGTCACCAATGGGCACAATGGCTTCAAATGCTGACCTCTCCCCACCAACTCCAAATTCAGCCACCACAGGCCACCCATTTCATGCTGCAATGCTCCTGTCTCTAGTGTCAACACTGCCCACAGGCCTAATTCCTGGCTCACACAGGGGCACCTGGATGCAATGAACACGCCCAGCTGTCACTGTTTCCATCATTTCCCGTTCTAGAGCAGAGAAACCAGGTGTGACCCATGGTTGCTTCCTGCTTATCCTCCAGCTCCTCCCTCACTTCTCAATCCAGGGCCTTGGCGCAGTGACAGTGGACTGTGCTCAGGTGTGGCTGGCAAGACCACAAAAGATCTACAGAGCTGAAACAGGTCATTCCTGACGCGAAGACGGTGGAGAAGCCACTCACCAGGGTCCAGGCTGTTGTCACTGTAGGCATACTCGACCTGCAGCATCAAGCAACGGAGAAGCCTGTCAGACCTTTGCCTCTTGGGAAAGGCACGAGCAATCCGCGGATGCACGTACCACGGATGCGGGGACCGCTGAATGGTTCTCCCAAGGCGAGCCTGGCTAGGCCTCAGGGGCGCCGCCCCCTTTGTATGACCCCTGCCGTTCCCGCCCCACCTCCCAGGCACGTCCCCCTTGTTCCCGCACACACGCCTCATTCGTCTCCCCACCTTGGCATACGCCGGGTGAGAGCTGTCTTCTCTGCAGCCCCGGGGCCCGGACAGCAGGGGAGACTCTGGGGATAGTTGGGGAGCCCCGCGTCTTCCGGACCCCCTACGTGCACGAGCCCGACCCGCCCTCCCCTCGCCGGCGTGCGCGTCCGCGGAGCTTGCCTTGACCCAGGGGTCCTCCGGAGAGGCGCCCGGCTCCGTCATCGTGGACCTACCGAACCGGAAACGAGCCTGCGGACTGGCCCCCAGCCTCCCAGGAAGAGGCGAGGCTCAATCACGTGATCCAGCCCACCAATCTGCAACCGTGGGCATGGGCAGGGCCAAAGCGCAGCGCTTGCGCGGCTCCAGTTATTAACCGCCTGCAGGCGGTGGCCACACCTGACCAATTCGCGTTCTTAATGCAGGCAGTGTCAGCCCTCGTGGGTCCTGCTTGCCTCCAAATGAGAATCTAGAATGGAGGCAATTTTCTGTTCAATGGAGCTCTCAAAAAAGATTGTTAAAAGGGCTAGAAGTGTACGAGTTTGGGGGAGAGCCCCAAACCCGTGAGAGCCCCAGCACTGCTCACAAAAGCGTCTAAACAGTGAGACATCGTGTACGCACGCGCACAGCTGATCGGGCTGGCAACCACAGCAGGGTCAAGAACTTCCCCTATGTCACATGATCGGATCCAAAGGGAGCACAACGCCACCCAACACCCGGCTGGTGTCTGACGCAGTGCTTGTGTAATTAAACCTTCTGTAAAGAGCCTTTGAAGTCAGGCTTATTGGCAGAACAGTAGAAAAGTCTAACATACTCAAAAGCACATCGCTAGTCACTGATAGGCCTCAAAGGCTGCGCTCAACCACAGCAATCCCTGGCTTCCAGCTCAGGCCTTGCCCCTGAATTTGGAGCTTAAAGATCCAAAGATACCTAGAGGCACTGCAGCAGGAAGGAGAAACCACACAGGCAGCATTGGAAACAGCTTTAATCCGGTGACTAGGTCCAGTGTTTCGGCACGACCCATTAACAGTGGGCAGACATCACACATCCGCCACTGAGGGAGCAGAACCCTAGAGGGGACTGCTCCCCCATTTAGCTATGTCCTGCTGGCCAAATTCCAGCATCTAGGCAGACTTCCGGGCTTCTCTCTGTGTCCTGCACAGCTAAGCTAGAATCCTCTTAGGCCTGCCATAGGGCGAACATGGAGGCCCCCACTCCTCCTCATCACTGGATTTGTTAGTCTGGGGGGGGGGGCAGTTTGGTGCCACAGAAAATTCGCTGTCAGTTCTTGGTCTGATGGGTCTTAGGGAGGCGCTTCTGTAGAAGAGTCCAGGCTTTTTCCACCTTTGGCCAGTCCAGAATGGTAGAAGAAAAGACGGGGTCAGGGGGATGACCACTGGACCTTCCCTCCCCACAACTTCCCTTTGCACCAACCTGTCGCTGCGTGACACGTGGGTCCCACAAGGTGCTCAGAACCACATGGCTCTGCTCCACCAGCTGCTGCCCGCTCATCTGGCTCTGCAGCCGGCTTTGAGCAGCTTCTTCACTCAGTCCATCCCTCTCTACAATGCGTCGTACAGCCTGGGCACAGAGGGCACACCGATCAGGAAGGACCTCAGCTCAGTCTACTGGATCACAGCAGGAGACTACCTGCAGTGAGCTCAGACGGGATAGAGTGGGGTCCAGATACCTCGGTCTCGGGGATGACAATGGTCCACACCTCGTGTACCATATTCTGCCAGCCGGCTTCCAGCAGCATGGCAGCATCAATCACACACACCGTCTTTCCTGTGGGGAAGCCCTAGTCACTGCCAGCAGCACCTTGACACTTGCTACCGCATGGGGCCGCGGAAGACTCCACGTAACTTCCCCTGGCTGCTACCGTCATCCCGCCCACTCACCCTTAGCCACAGCCAAATCCATCTCCTCTCGAGCCAGCTTCGCGATAACTGGCCACATAATATCTGTGAGGATCTTCAGCTGCTTCTGGGGAGGGGGACAGAGAGCGGGCAGAGGTTAGCGTCCCTGAGGAGGTGGGGGCTGAGAGCAGATGAGCAGAAACAGACTTCCTGTGCCAGACTCGGGAATCCGAGGGTTCCGCCGGTTGGCAGCAGCTGCGTGTTTACCTTGTTGCCGAACACCCGGCTGCCCAGGATCTTCCTATTGATGGTGCCATCTTTATGGAGAATATCTGGGTGACAGAAAGACAGCTAAGTACAGAGGCCAGCCCATCTTCTTCTTACCTTCATCCACCTCCACCCCTCCACAGCCAGTACCTGTTCCAAAGGCCTCCACCACAGGCTGGTAGGCAGGGCCCCCAGGAGCATAGGCCCGATGGCCCAGATGGTCACTGTCAATGATATAGGCACCCAGTTTCTTCAACCGCTGGGCTACTGAGCTTTTCCCAGAGCCGCTGATGCCTGTCAGCCCGAGCACATAGAGCCCTGACGGGATCTCTGGCCTCTGCTGCAGACAGGTAAGTGGGAACCTCAGTTACCAGGGAGTTCAGGCTCCCACTTCCCGTGGAGGGCCTGTTTCTACCCTCCAGCCTTTCCAACACTCACATTCGGTGAGGAGTTAGGGAAGGCAGACTTACGTTTGGAGCCTGAAGCAGGTTTCCCAGAATCCGCTGCCTGAAGCTGGAGGAGCTGACCTTATCCTCTTCGTTTTCACTGTGACTTTGGTCCTTCAGCAGCTGGATCTGGTATAAGGCAAGTTCCTCCTTGCCCTGAGGTGAGGGGGGGTAAGAGAAAAGACGAGACTCTGGAGGCCCCAGCTGCCCTCTTCCTCCACCTCCACAGGCAAGATCCTTCCGGCTTCCTCCACCCCGAACCCTCCCTTCCCGGCCCTGGGGCCACAGTACTTCCAACAGGCCTTCCCGCCCCATTCCCTCTGCCAGTCTCCTTCAGGGGTTACATTCTCAAGGCGGAAGCGGTTGACGGCCATCCCCCCACGGTAGGTCTCCTCGCTGACCACCAGGAACTCCAAGGTGGGGTCAGACCCAGCAGGCCCATAAGGGTCCAGCAGGGGGACGATATCAAAAGTCAGGGAGGGCTTGACGTCCACCAGGAACTCACTCAGATGGTCCACACGCTCTGCATAAGGCTGGAGCAGCTCAGGGAGTACCTTGCCTGGAGAAGGAGCCGAGAGCAACCGTGAGATCTTCCCATTGAGGCAGACAGATGCACGGGCACGCTTGGGGAAGAATGCCCCTAGGCACTGAGATTTCCCCAAGCGGTGGCAGCGGGAAAGGGTGAAACCGGGAGTTTGGGGGGAGGGGGACAAAGGGGAGGAAACAAAAAGCAGCACAGACACTGTAAGGGCTGGCATGTACCCAGAAAACGGGCCACCAAGAAATGACCGCGGAGTCGGAGCGGTACCAGTAGGTATCAGCTAGGTGGGGAACTCCAAGAGCTACCCACTCTTACCGCCCCCTCGCTGTCCGTGGCACCGCTAGGTCGCCTAAACTCATCTCCCAAACATTTATTTTCAGTGTTTCAGAGCTGATCACTAGGAGAACCATAAACGGCAAATTCCTTGGTTCCCATTTGGGGAGTTCTGACTTCAGTAAAGATGACCGAACCGCACACTAAGGATGCCACAATGTATTTATCAAAAGTCCCAGAGCACTAACAGTGCCAGGGGTTGTGGCATTTTGGAAGGGTGAGAGGTGGCCCTACCCTTCCTTGATCTTGGCACTGGGGGGAGCCAAGAAAATCTAACGGGTGTCTTCCATTGCCCTATGCCGGGGCCCCTCGTCCCTCTCACTCACTCTTCAACAGATCTTTGTCTGCTACTCCCACCACAAGCTGCTCCTGGGCCAGTACACATGCAACACTGAGCAACACTTTGTGGGCATTGTGCAAGCGGTCAAAAGTGCCACCCACGGCCCCACGGTGGTAGCCACGCACAGGCTGCTTTGGAGATCTGGCAACCGGGGAAGCTGGCCTTATGGTGGAGGGTAAGGGGACATCCAGGGACTCCACAGGCAGCTCTCCAGTTCCATAATCCGGGTACAGCAAGACAGAGGACAACTGCGAACAGCAGCTGTAACAACTCGTGGCATAGCGCTCTAGCTGTTGTTTAACAGGGTTGTACTGGCTCCCATCCAGGGTCTGGAAGTCCGTAAGTACTACTTCTGGAGGGTGGGCCAGATTCTGGACCGAGGGCAGAACAGGGAGGAAAGTGCTCTTGGTCTGGATGTTGGTCAGTAGAATTCTGACGTCCAGGTGCCTGAGCAGGTCGGCGCCGCTGTAGAGGTGCGTGATGAAATCCAGAACTTCAAAAGTGGCCTGCACAGGGCTGGCCTGGGGCTGGGCGGGGCCCCCCAGGTCCATGCCCGGTTGCAGGTGCACATAGAGGGTGTGATTGACCAGGCGGGCCGCCGAGGTCAGAATGGGCGGCAGGCGTGGGGCCAGGGTGGCCAGCGGCGTTGTCAGCACCAGGAGGCCAGAGCGGAATACGGCCATGCTGCCCAGGCCTGCAGACAGTCAGGGAGACGAAGCGAGAGTGACTAGCTGGGTTGAGGACGAGGGCTGCAGGGGAACTCGGATGCAGGAGGAGGGACCTGGAGCAGGGCTGGGGACCGTTCGCTGATAGAAACTGGAATCCTGGCAGGGGGAACCGGCCGGGAACCCCTGAGTCATGGGGTCTGGGGCTTCAGGAATCCTAGTCCCTCTGGTTAAACTGAACCGGCATCTGCGAAGACGGGGACTAGAGGAGACGCTGTGGCTCGGGCCGCTTCCCTACTCACTGAGTTCTTGGGATTCTGCTTCTACTTACACCGCCGCGGAGGCGTCCTAGGCTGCGGCCCGGAAGCACTACCCTCAGATCTCAGAGCGCGGAGCTACGGGAACTCGAAGCAGTCAAACGGTGCAACTCCGAGGTTGCGGCCGAATTCTCGAGAAGACCTCTGGGGAAAGGCGCGTCGGGGCGGGGCTGGGCGCAGAGGCTTCGGGGTTGCGCGGAACCCTGGCACCGGATTCTCTTGGAACTGGCAGGAAGCGGGCAGGGCGAGCTGCAAAGCCCGTTTTGCGGATTCCCGTTGACCTTTGCTTCCCTTAGCTTGCTAGGAGACCGTGACAAAGCCAGGACCCCTCCCAGCGTCCCTTCTCAATGAGAGAGACAGGGAGAGTGGGGTCGCCTTGCTGTGCTTGCTCCGGGCCAGCGTTCCCAGGGATGTTGCTGGACAGTTCTCTCACATCCCATTCCACATAGGGAATTTGAGTGTTTTGGAACACTTGGGGGCGGGTCTCGTGGCTTTCTAGGACTCTAGTTTGCAGGGAGAGGCAAGAAAGCGATCTCAGCTGTCAGGTCAGTAACGCTGCGGGGGCAGTCTCTGACCTGGGAAAAGGGAGACCTAGGGGTGAGGATACCCGGAGAAGTTAACGAGGGCTGGAAAATCATGAGAGCTAGAGAGTCGAGTTGGTAGACGAGAGTGTGGAGGGGAAGCCAGATATCGACAGAAAACATCTCAGGTAAATCATCCACGGAGATTCCTAAAAGAGAGCCAGGTGGTGGTGGCGCACGCCTTTAATTCCAGCAC